ACGTGCAAGTGGGTCGTGAAGGCACACGGGGATGTGGGCAGCTGGCGCTTAACCATCATCAACGTGGCCAGCCTTGTACGTGAGAGGCACAGTAAGAGGGGTGTGTAAGAACAAATAAACTGGGAGGCCTCCCAACGATAATAATGGTGAATATATTCAAGAAAATGACATAATTGATCTATTGTCTACCATATTGCTAACTGTCTCATTGTTGGGTAACCCCCTCTCAAGTATGCTGCATTGGAAAGTTTTGGGGCTCTATAGCAAGCAACATGGAGCAGAATAGATTCGTTATACCCCTTTTTTGAGTTTCTTTACTTTGGCTTGCGTTGGGGTACTCCTCCTATTTGTTATTGCAGCTCCCTTTGCTCTGTGACTCTCACGCACAAGGCTGGCCACGTGGTTGAGCGCCAGCTGCCCACATCCCTCTGTGTGTGTGTGTGTGTGTGTGTGTGTGTGTGTGTGTGTGAGAGAGAGAGAGAGAGAGAGAGAGAGAGAGAGAGCGAGAGAGAGAGAGCAGTTGGAAGTTTACATACTTGGTAGTGAAGTTTACGTAACCGATGTAAATAAAAGAATAGGAAAGCTGCTGGGTTCAGCTCCAGGACTCCATCAGGATTAGAACTCGTGATCTGTCGATTAGCCGTTACATGTGTGTAGTACTGTGTACCATCCACATCAGGCGTACAAGGTATCAAAATATTTCAGAATATTTCAGAATATTTCAGCTTATTTCAGAATATGTCAGAATATTTCAGAATATTTGAATTATATTTCTGAATATTTCTGAATATTTCTGAATATCTCTGAATATTTTAACAGATTATTTGAATTTATTTCAGAATATTTCAGGTTATTTCCTAGGCTACCAGCTGGGCCGCCCAGGTGACCTTTGTTTGTACGGGCGGCCCGGGCCGAAGTAGGTCTCAGCACAAAAAAAAAAGGAAAAAAAAAAAAAAAAACCGAAGAAATCTGAAAAACAACTATGTTATGCAGAAAAATAAAGTGAACAACTTTTGCCTCAGGGTCACATCGAAATTCGTTACCAAATAAAAATATTTCAGAATATTTCAGAATCTAGTTCTGAACTTTTGAAACGTTTTTTGTTCTTTCGGTGGAATTTTTTCAAAGGCGTACAAAATCCTGGAATATGTGGAGTCATACAAGCGAGAGACAAAGCTGCCTCCGATGCCAATTCTCCTTTGTGGGTGAGTACGTTACATATGCCTGTGCAGCGGAGCACGAAACCATGTTTTTTTTTTTTTTTGGCCCTCAACAATGGCAACAATGTTTTATTGCAGAATTTTAAGGAGCTTTTTGAGGGACACTAAATGTTTAAAAACGTCTTTTTTGTTTACCAAAAAACAAGAAAAAAAAAAGTTTTTTTTGGTAACAAGTTACTAACAATGTACTCTGTTCGAGTGGTTTTTGGAAATTTGGAGGGTTTTTTTTTTTTTTTCCAGTCCTGGGTCTTTTTTTTTTGTTCAATATAAGAAGTTGTGAGGATTGAGCCCTCAAGTAGGGGCCTTGCCATGATGTACATGTTCTGGGCTAAGGCCCCAGCAAGCCTAGTGCCCGCCCTAAGTGAAGGCGGGCCAGCAAATCAACAAGAGCCCTCTATGCCAACATTTCACGAAGTGGGGTCTATACAGTTGCAGCACGCCAGTTGGTTGGAGTGCACCGAGTCTCGGATTTCAGCAAATGCTGAAATGCCCAGGGCCTCTGAGTTAGTTAGGCCCTGGGCACTCGAATTTGAGGCCGACAATGCATGCTGGGTAGAGAGGCCGAAATGCCAAAGGGAAAATCAGCCCACTATCTGAATCTGGCCGCAGACCTTGATGAGAGAGGTGCAACTGCATTGCTCCGGGGCMCAACTGTATCGGGTAGGCTTCAGCCTCTGGGTCCCGGTCGCAGGCTGAAGGGAGGCCGCCCACACGCTGCATTGGCATATAGGCAAGCAGGGCGAGGCAGCAGGGATCTTGGCCATTGCGGGCAATGCCGGCACGCTGCGCAAATGCAAGCTGCTGGCTGCTGCGCTGCGCGAAGAGGTAGTGCAAGGCAGGCATGCGCTAGGCGGTAGGGCGCTGCCTGTGCACTGGGCGCTTGGCGGCCATTGCCGGGCTGCAGAGGGCGCAGAGGGGTGAAGGGCGAAGGTGGTACTTCGGAGGTGAAGGGCGCTGTGTGGG